AAATCCTTCCCATGTTTCTGTTTGCTTGTCGGACGGGCCTTCTTGCTCATTTTATATCTATGGGGCCATCTCTGTTCAAATAAAAGGCGTATATCTGTTTGAGATGTTTGACTTGTCTTACATGGGAGCCAAACATCAGTGATAAGAATAGCAAACACAATGCAGCAGAGCAGGAAAGGACTGGTACCTGACCACATGTCCAGAACTACAGACATTTATTTAGAAATATATTGATAATTACAGTTATTTTAAAAGTGAGCTACTGTCCAATGGAAAAAAAAAACCAACAAAACATCTAAGCTATATATCTGTAGGCACAGGACTGGAAATAGGGGGTGGCACCCCCTTTTTCAGCCTTACCTCACCTCCACCTGCAGACAGATGTAGAGAAGTAGCATGTTTTTCACTAGTTCCATCCTCTTTGGCAGAAGGCTATTCTTCATTTTGAGGAAGAAAAAAAATTGCTAGTTGGCTGCCCTCCCTCGTGTTATCTTTAGATACGTAAAAAGCCAAAACAAAACAAAGAACAAAGCCATCCCCAAACCAGAACTGTGGTTACTGGCAGCAGTTGTGGTCCTGGCACACGAATGTCTCGAGGTCTGGTGAATATGTCACCATCCATTCACGCAAACAAAACTTTTGGTCTTCAAAACAAAGAAGAAACAGCAGTAAATAAAATCGAGGGCCACAAAACTAGAGGGTTACTAATAGTCTTTGTTTTTTGAGAGATCGCTTTGAGGAGGACTTACTTTCTAAAAGTGCTCTGGCAGCTGTTCTTATGATGATACATCATATTTGTTACTCAAAAGTCTCATGAAATTTTAGTACATTTTGATCCGCATATGTGTAACTTTTAGGAGGAACATTAATCCCAGTGAAACATGAATAGCTTCCCCTTCAGCTTCTGAATGCTTTCTGCTCTCCTGCAATCTCCTCCAAGTGCAAACCACCCGAACACAGAGGTGAATGGTTGGGTTTTTTTCTGATAAGGGAGGTGTTATTGTAAAATTCACAGCTCAGAAATTCCTGAGGAGCACATGGCTCTACCACGGCATCCCTTCATCCTCACTAATTGTGTTACACCCAGCGTAAGAGAGCACACAGCACGAAATGAAGCCTGGCTGTATGCAAACAGAAGTTGGTTAAATAGGTCCCTGAAAGAATTTCTCCAGCAGGAGTCCAAGAATGAAGTAATTCACCTTATATCTGCTCTGTGACTTTGCACAGTGTAGCACGATGGAATATTTAAAAATGATGCCTCTTTTTTATCCAGGTCTGTTACTCTTGGAATTACTGTCCTTTGGTCCCCCGCATCTGAAATAATACTAATTACCCTCTGGAACTTTAGACATAAATGCATGTGAAAATGCATTCATCTCAAAATGCAACTGATGTGTTCCTTTCTGTAAGAAATTTGTTGGAAGCGTACTCAATGCAGTATGGAAGAATTGAGTAACAGGAAGCTCAGTATAATATTTAATATTGTTAAACAAACACCAGCATTGGAGTTCAGGTCTCTCAGCAGTTATATGAAATGTTGGCATGGGGTACAGGACAGACAACAGAAGATATCTAGAAATAAACATGGACCCTGTATTACAAACTTACATATTAACTCTAGGGGACCAGCAGCGTTCTTGCTAACACTGCACAATGCTGCAGGGGAAAATTCCAGAGAGCTTTCAAGATGCAGCGTTACCTATCGAGACTTTTTCTTGTGCTAAATTTCAGCCTAACAGAAAATATTTTCCCTTCCCGGTCCTTAGCTGTGAGCATTTCAAGAGCTCTTCTAAGGCATGATTTGCCACTGCCACATGTTTTCACCACTTTGACTTGGGCAATGTCTGGTTGCCTTTTACTGTCACCTTATGGTTATACCCGAACGTGTGTCTGTATCTCACTGAATGCTCTGTTCAGATTTGAAGGGAGACACAGGTTCAAGATGCAGGTAAATCAAGCTGATGTTTGTAGAAAAGTTATATTCCGTTTTTACGTTGCCTTTCATTGGGTCAGAAGGTACTTGTCAGGTTCCTGAGTTCACATTCCTTTTATCTGATATCTTGGAAAAAATATTAAGCCCCTTTAGCCACCGTTCCACATGTCACCATTTCTATCGATGCAAAACGTGCACAGAAGTTTGCAAACACAGAATGCTGATACTTCCAAGTGTCAGTCATTTAAGGGACTGTGGGGAAAAACATGAGGGAATCTTCAGCATTCTCAATGTTGCAGGTTAATAAAAAGATCCACCTTTTAGTGATGGGTTCTTCTTTGGCAGAGGGATATGGTCAGTAAAGCCAGTTACAGACTGAAGTGTTTACCCAGCCCTTCCTTGGGATTTTGTTAGTCCAAAGCAGCACAGGTCTGAAAGATCCAGGCTGTTCATCATAATTCCCATCATTCTCCAGAAAGTTGGGATTTTCCTACAACCACCTGAAAATAACCCCTATTTCTAACATAAGAGTTATCCAGATAACCTTTCATTCCCAAATAGAGCCTTATTCCTTTAAATCTCTCACAAGAATGCTGTTTCTCACCTACAAAGATAACAGGAGCAGACTTGGGGAAATGCAAAACATTTTGCAAAAGCAGCAGGTAGTACAAATTTCATTGCATCTAGCTGTTCTGTAAACTCCTCTAAGCTGGATGTGATTATCCACGGAGAACAGAATGGTATTTCTGAAAGACAAGATGCATTGCCTTGACATTTTTCTAAATGAAAATTGCCTGCAAATATGTTATGCTTAGACACATCATTGAATTTATTTCAGATGTGTTTAAAAACCCTGTTTCAGAAATGAAGTCTTTTATTTTTGTCAGTTTTCCAGGAAACTGAAAAATGAATTATTCAAACTACTCCCAGTAGGAATAATACAGAGTTGTGGTAAAACTGCCCACTTAAGAAAGAAACAGCATAGAAAAGGGAAGCTGGAGGCCTAAGGAACTGTTAGAAGACCTTGCTCTAAGCTAAACCAGGTGGTACCTGCTACTGAAGCAATGGGCTGCAGGGCAGAGCACGACCTGAGAATAGTTGTGTGTGTGTTGACATCCAGCCACCAGAGAGAGAAATTCATTAAAAGTAAATCATAATATTTTCCACTGTGGAACTCCATCGCTTTGCATTCAGTCAGGATCCAGCCTTGTTATTTTTATTAAAGTCTCTCACTGAGTGCTCTGGAATAATAATTTCAATTTTATTTCATGTCCCGGGGCTCTGTGCAAACTTCACAGTTCTTCCTGTGTCTCGTCTGCTAAGTTACTGACTAATCAATACAAAATTTTCAGAGAGCAGTGCTTAATTAAGAGATTATTCTTGGGAGGATGACAGCACCAATGAGGAATTGCCGAAATTATGGAACGACAGCTCTTGCAAATGTTTAGCTGTTCTGTAAACTCCTCTAAGCTGGATGTGATTATCCACGGAGAACAGAATGGTATTTCTGAAAGACAAGATGCATTGCCTTGACATTTTTCTAAATGAAAATTGCCTGCAAATATGTTATGCTTAGACATTGAATTTCTTTCAGACATGTTTAAAAACTCTGGTTCAGAAACGAAGTCTTTTATTTTTGTCAGTTTTCCAGGAAACTGAAAAATGAATTATTCAAACTACTCCCAGTAGGAATAATACAGAGTTGTGGTAAAACTGCCCACTTAAGAAAGAAACAGCATAGAAAAGGGAAGCTGGAGGCCTAAGGAACTGTTAGAAGACCTTGCTCTAAGCTAAACCAGGTGGTACCTGCTACTGAAGCAATGGGCTGCAGGGCAGAGCACGACCTGAGAATAGTTGTGTGTGTGTTGACATCCAGCCACCAGAGAGAGAAATTCATTAAAAGTAAATCATAATATTTTCCACTGTGGAACTCCATCGCTTTGCATTCAGTCAGGATCCAGCCTTGTTATTTTTATTAAAGTCTCTCACTGAGTGCTCTGGAATAATAATTTCAATTTTATTTCATGTCCCGGGGCTCTGTGCAAACTTCACAGTTCTTCCTGTGTCTCCTCTGCTAAGTTACTGACTAATCAATACAAAATTTTCAGAGAGCAGTGCTTAATTAAGAGATTATTCTTGGGAGGATGTCAGCACAAATGAGGAATTGCCAAAATTATGGAACGACAGCTCTTGCAAATGTTTGCACCTGTATTTGGCAGTTTTCTGGAGGCCGGTGAAGAGCAGTACCCAGAGACAACCAGACCAGGACCTGACAAATCAGGTGGGTGCATCAGCCCGTGGCTCTTTGAGCATCCTTCCTCCTGGATGCTCCCCTCGGTGTGCGTCCCAAAGTTTGGGGTGAAATGCTGTCTCACAGAGTGAAAAAGGCTCAGTTCCAAGTTACTGACACAGACCCGTTGCCTGCATGAAATTTGCTCCATTTGGGAGCTACAGGTCCTGGGAGATTTGGATTCCTTGGTGCCTGTTCCAGACTTTTACCTTCTGTTTCTGTAAGAATTCAGAAGCCAATTGAAACTGGAGCCGCTGTTTACCTCTGTCTTTGTGCTCGTGGCTGCATTTACCAATCTGCATTTTTTTATACCAAAGCCTAGATAAGCCATCTCATCTTTGTAGAGTGATCTAAAATGAAAATTCTCTAATTGCAAGCATGTACATGGACTTAGCCCTATCTGGGTGAATTCCTACTGTACAAAATCAACCTCCTCTGCCTGGGGACAAATATTAGCAAAAAAAAAAAAAAAAGAAGCATGGCTATAGGATTAGAGTTGATGACTTTTTTGTCTGATGCCTTGAACTCCTTGTTTGTCATTTGATAAGGAAATTTACGCAAAACTTTTATCTATTTGGGTGCTGGAAGGTTCAACCTTTTCAGGACAAAAAGGACCTGAGTAACACATAATAAACAAATAATATCAAATTCATTTTTGGCAAGGACAGTCCAAGTTTTGTAATCATCTTCAGACCAAATGGAAATCTACAGATGCCAGCTCCATGGTTAATATTTTACAGACATGGGTAGTAAAGGGTATATAAGCAAATGCCTTCCCTTCAATCTTCCTAGCATTTCTGAATAATTTAGCCCACATTGTAATTTGCAACCATGAAGTGGGTAACGTTAATTTCGTTTATTTTCCTCTTTAGTTCTGCTACGTCCAGGAATCTGGAAAGATTTCCTCGAGATGCAGGTAAGAAAGGGCTAAAAAGTTGTCTTTGCAGTCTTTATTATATCAATTTAATGATTTTAATGCTATTTCACAAACAATTCTTGCAAGCCTGATCCAAAGAGAACAGAAGGATTTGATTGACTTGAAAAGAAACTAAATGAAGCAATGGTGAGGAGATGGGTAGAACGCTCCACACAACTTAAGTGGGCAACGTCCCATTGCAGCATCAATGTAGTGCATGGGCAGATGTTAATTATTATTAATCTGTTACTTCCCAGCATGGAGAAGGCAGCTGCACTGGGCTTTTGGAAGTGCTGCCTTTTGCATGGTAGTTCCTAACTAATCTCCTCACCAGCTAAAGGCAATGGCTTTCACATGAGTAGGTCAAAAATTCAAAAATCTACCTCTTGGTCTGGGCTATAAGAATACTAGCTGAAAACTCATGGTGTCATTTCCCCCTGGATTTTAAAACTTTAGACCATAGTCAGACAAAAATTTCTGCAGTCAGTCCTAGAAGTTTTTTCCCTGATATCTTTTATTTTTGTTTGAAACATGAAAATACCTAAATTTAACAAAACTGAGTTTTCAGGAGCTGACCAGAAATGCCGGTGAACAGCAGTAAAAAAAATTTTAAATTACTATTTTCTTCACTAAACCCCTTATTATCAAAGCAGGTATATTCCATTAGGTAAAGGAATTACTCCTCATGTTTTCTAAATGCTCCTGAGTGGTATTTCTAGAAGAAAAGGGCTGCCTCATTCTAGCACACTCTTTAGTGTGGCCACATGCCTCGGTATCTGCTGGGAAAATCCTGGGGGAGTCTCCTGGCCAGGAGTGAGGTGTAACTGCAACCTGTATTTGCAGCCAAGGGAAGGCACTTTTCTGCCTGAAAAGCACAGAGGAGATGCAGTGGGTGGAACAAGAATATGAATCTGCCAAAGTAATAATTTTGTGTTCAAAAGGAGAAAATTCTACTAATGCTTGCTCTAATCAAACTGCGGCTGCGTTCCTTTGTTCGTAACGTAGACGATAGCAAAAGAGGTTTGCTAACCCCTAATAGTAAGCTACAGCAGTCATTTTGATGATTTGAATTAAATGTGTGCTCACAGAGGTAAATATTTTATTAGAAACCTAAAAATCACATGTTTGGGTTTGAAAGATAAGCGTGTGCCAGAGTTAGGTATCTGCAGACAAATGACAAGATTGGTCACCTGAGACAGCGAAGAGCTCAAGGTGGCCTGCAGAAGGCTTTAGATTGAAGTTCCTGGAAAAGCAATACAGATTTCCCAGGAAGATGTACCCAAAGGTGGGATTTTACAAGTGCTCAGCATTAGCTCAGGCTGTTTCAAAGCCATGATGTTACCCCCTAAGCGTAAGAGCTAGGTGAATGCCAAACACTTCTGACCCAAGGTGCCCAGAATGTATTCTTGAAGGGATCCAGCACAGCCAACGTGACAGTGAGCATCATCGTTCTCTTTGGTTGTTTCTTTCCTAGAGCACAAGAGTGAGATCGTCCATCGCTACAATGATTTGAAGGAAGAGACATTTAAGGCAGTGTAAGTGAATGTTCAGCTCACATTTTCTGATTGTTTTCCATCTCTGTTGATATTGGACAAAAAAGGGAAACCAAAACACACTGTCTCACTGAAATTAGCCTGCTCACTCTTAGGATACAAAGCCTATAAATATTTTTAGACCTGCAAAAGTCACAATGACTTTCCTGCTCTCTGGGAGAAGAACTCCCTGCAAACCTTAGGAGAAAACCTTTGTGAAAAGAAAATAGGCGTGAGTAATACAGTTTTGATAACCTTAGGATGGAGAGGAGTTGTGCTGGATTGAGACATTATGGAAAAAAACCCACCAAAACCAAGCCAACCACCTCAAAAACCAAACCTGCAACACGTTTTCTGAGACAATTGAATGGCTTTCTTTGGAAACTGGTTTTGGGAGATGGAGAGGAGTTGTGCTGGATTGAGACATTATGGAAAAAAACCCACCAAAACCAAGCCAACCACCTCAAAAACCAAACCTGCAACACGTTTTCTGAGACAATTGAATGGCTTTCTTTGGAAACTGGTTTTGGGAACGGCAGAGGGCCCTGCCAGGAACATAACTACTTCTGAAAGAAAGCAGCCTGAAGATCATCATTTGTAATGATGGCAAAATACAGCTTAGTTTATGGCATCTATGAACATGCTGGTCAAAGGGGCAGAAAACTCTAATCACAGTCTTTTCTGTTCTGTTTCTAATCTATTATTCAAGACTTTTGGTTTTGGGAAGTAAGGTTGAAACATTTTTCAGAAAGGAGGTGAGAAGAGGAAGGGTATGGGATCTGGTACCATGCTCTTCATGGTACTCTGGTGAAGGATTTGTGCAGGTCATTTGAACGTTTGGGAAGTAAGGTTGAAAACATTTTTCATAAAGGAGATGAGAAGAGGAAGGGTATGGGGTCCAGTACCGTGCTCTTCATGGTACCCTGGTGAAGGATTTGTGCAGGTCATTTGAACAAAGAGTTTTGAATCCGGAAGCACCTTCAAATATTCTGAGTGTTATGAATCTTATGTCCATATTCCAAACTGTGCTTTGTGTTTCAGCACCATGATCACATTTGCCCAGTACCTCCAGAGATGTTCTTATGAAGGACTGTCCAAGCTGGTGAAGGATGTTGTTGATCTGGCACAGAAGTGTGTAGCCAACGAGGATGCTCCCGAGTGCACAAAATCACTGGTAGGCAGCAAACACCTTGGTATTGTGTTTCTCCTAATTAATGCAGGTCCCAAGGTCATCCTGTAAAATACAGGTCTAATTCTAGGTATTAAAGACCAAACCATGTGGGTTTTCACACTGGGGTGACTTGAAAAGTTAGGTGTGCTAATTCAAGGTTATTTAAGAAATTTTAAAAAACTCCTCTAAAAGCAGGTATCAAAAGAAGTTTGCAGGTGCCAGAGATCCCTGGATGTCTCGCAGGTTCAGCCTGGCCCTTCAGAAGGTTAGGTGCTTGTGTTCTTGTGAGCTCTAACGTTCAGATCAAACACCACAACTATGTTAGTTCTCCCTAAAGGTTTCCCAAGCTGATCATCAAGCAGGATATCAAATCCTGCTCAAATTAATCTGAAAATTCAGTTTAGTCAGATTATAAGTAAGGTAACAGTCTTGCACAGAGTATTTTAAATTAAAATTGATATGTTTTCTTATCTAAAAAATGTATTTGCTTTTCAATCTGGGTTTTCTTTTACAGATGAATAGAATGTGCATGACACTTTCTGTAAGCAATAATTCTGACCTTCAGCATTTCCCTTGTAGCCCACCATTTTCCTGGATGAAATCTGCCAAGTCGAAAAGCTCCGCGACACGTACGGAGACATGGCTGACTGCTGCAGTAAAGCTGATCCCGAAAGAAATGAGTGTTTCCTGTCATTTAAAGTTCCCCAGCCAGACTTCGTTCAGCCATACCAGAGACCAGCCTCTGATGTCATATGCAAGGAGTACCAGGACAACCGGGTGCCAACCTGAGATCCCTGGATGTCTCACAGGTTCAGCCCAGCCCTTCAGAAGGTCAGGTGCTTGTGTTTCTGTGAGCTCTAATGTTCAGATCAAACGCCACAACTATGTTAGTTCTCCCTAAAGCTTTCCCAAGTTGATCATCAAGCAGAATATCAAATCCTGCTCAAATTAATCTGAAAATTCAGTTTAGTCAGATTATAAGTAAGGTAACAGTCTTGCACAGAGTATTTTAAATTAAAATTGATATGTTTTCTTATCTAAAAAATGTATTTGCTTTTCAATCTGGGTTTTCTTTTACAGATGAATAGAATGTGCATGACACTTTCTGTAAGCAATAATTCTGACCTTCAGCATTTCCCTTGTAGCCCACCATTTTCCTGGATGAAATCTGCCAAGTCGAAAAGCTCCGCGACACGTACGGAGACATGGCTGACTGCTGCAGTAAAGCTGATCCTGAAAGAAATGAGTGTTTCCTGTCATTTAAAGTTCCCCAGCCAGACTTCGTTCAGCCATACCAGAGACCAGCCTCTGATGTCATATGCAAGGAGTACCAGGACAACCGGGTGCCATTCCTGGGACAGTAAGAAAAATAGCCATTTTTTACTCTTTCAGTATTTTGTTGTGCAGAAGAGGGATCCCCAGGCTCTACAGAGTTTGTGGACATGCAGGACATTTGAAAAAATTAGAAGTATTCAACCTCATATCTGCACATATAAAGCGGTTGCTCTGATCACGTTTTTTCCATTCCACATTTGGGCAGGTTTTTCCATTCAAATCTGGGCTTTAAGGGATCACATTTTATAAGTCCTGGGGGACCTTTGGGGTTTTTTTGCCCCAAGAGCCTTGAAAAACCACAGTGTTTCCAATATTGATTTAATGCCTTACTTGCTCCAGCTTGCCACTACCCCAATGGAAATTGGAAAGGATGAAGAAAGATAACAGTAAAAAGAATAAAAATTTGCAATAAAATCTCTATGGAATGGCCATAGGATGACTTTTTCACACTCAAAACGAGAATTTTCACATATTTGACAAGGCTTCTTAAAAAAGCATATGATTGTCAATCTAAATGTCTGACAACATACGTAGCTCATCCCTCCATCACTGTTATTGAGTCTTGCTTTGGAAACAGTGGGATTTAGCAGAGCATTTACCAGCAGCAGGCATTACCTTAGGAAAGCAGATTATATTTCTAAACTAGAAATTAAAGTTATAGCAGCTGTGAGAGATTTACAGCCGTTTGCTGCTGCCATTGGAATACGTAACCTATGCTTTTCTTTTCCTGCTAGTTTCATCTATACTGTTGCAAGAAGAAACCCCTTCTTGTACTCCCCAACGATCCTCAGCCTGGCTGCTGACTACGAACATGCCCTCCAGAGCTGCTGTGCAGGGAGTGATGTTGGTGCTTGCTTGGATGAGAAGGTACATCCAGTCTTTCACTGCTGATGAAAACTAAGCAACTGGTCTGCTACACACAGGTCTCCCCTGATCTTAGCAGCAAGTCTCTTTAACGTGAGAAGTAACTTTAAAAGGCCAATCTTAAATTACGGTTTATAATTCCAAAATTGTGCTTTCCCGGTGAACATTTGTGTCTGGCTTCATAGAAACTAAGGCGGTCAAAAAAATCATATTTTGATTTTTTTAAGCGACAAAACAGAAGACTCCAAGTGTAGATAATTAATCTTGTCTTTTTGTCCCTGTGCTACATTATCAGGCAGCTCTGGGTGTTGCGCTGAGGCACTCAATCCAAATAAGATGTAGTGCTTGGGGTTTTTCATCTGGGGTAATCTCTAGTGAGAAGGCACACTGCCCAGGGGGCACTGGGGAAAGACACATCTCAGTTGGCAGCCTAACATGCCACTGCCATGTCCAACGTGTAGCTGTATGAGATCTCTCTCCTGTTCTTCCCCTATCCGTTGCCCAAGCAAGTGGAGGGGAAGGAGTGAGAAACGGGCAGAATCTTCCTGTTCATGCAAATCTTTGTACGAAGAACTTGTAGAGAAGGGTCAGGATGAATCCCGTGTTGGCCCTATGAATCGATAGCAGATGACTTCCACATAACTTTGCTTTTTAGAGAACCGAAGCCAAGATTTCATATAAGCCTTGAGAATGGCACGAGCCAAACTCTCCCTTTGTCTCAAACTCAGTCCCGGTGACTTCTGTACAATCACCGTGGTGCTCTGAAAGACAACTGACACTCCTTTTAGCCACGAGGTTTCAGTGAATGCAAAGTTCTTGGTGAACAGCAGGATGTCTGTAGAAGAATTTCCCCATGTCACAAAATACAGCATTAGAGATTAGAAGTTAAATGCTGGATCGTGCAGGGGTTATGACTGTTTTAGCCAGAGGTTTCAGTGAATGCAAAGTACTTGGTGAACAGCAGGACGTCTGTAGAAGAATTTCCCCATGCCACAAAGTATAGCACAGAGACTAGAAGTTAAATGCTGGCTCGCACAGGGGTCGTGACTGTCTCAGGAATTCTCGGTTTGCTTGGCTTTTCATCAGAGCTAACTGGACCAGAACCTGCTGCGTTTCTGAAGTGGGATTTTCAGATTTGCTCTATTTCTCAGTCCATTAGATGTAATCAGTTTCATGTGACAATGTGCATCCTGTTCCTATAGGAAATTGCCATTAAAGAAAGAGCCAAGAAAGTCAATATGAAGCAGCAGTATTCTTGTGGAATCCTCAAGAAGTTTGGCGAGAGAACTTTCAAAGGAAAGTAAGTTCCAATCAGTTTTTTTATAAAAAGTAGGCTTGTTAACCTAAACCTGGAACTATTCAAGAGGAAAATATCATTGCATATAAATCACCTCTATATGCTGAGTTTGAAAACTGCACTCATGGTACTTCCTATCATACTTTTGGTGGAGGACCAACAGAATAGAGATCAGTGGGTCAGTCTTTCAACGCTAGGCCAACAGCCATTTCTTAGCCTATTTCTTGAAATGTAGAATTTAATCCTGGTCAGGTTTCTGTGTAAAGACTAGACACAAAGGGGAACCTGTGTATTCCAGGCCTTGAGGGAGTACCAGTAAAGAGATCAGCTGTGAGAGTCAGGGAGAATTGAAACTGTCTCTAGAACCAATCCAGGAGATGTGACATTAACTGGTGGAGTGTCACTCCGAAACAGAGATTCCAGAGTGTTTAATCTACATTTTTGCTGAAGCTGTGTCCCGTTCTGATGCCTGCAGTGTTTAGCAACAGGCACATCAGTAATCAGCAAAGTAAATTGCTGGTTTGAACCTTAAAGCAATCAAAGAGTCAGATTTGGCAGAATCACAGTTCCTGTAAAGGGTGCTTTTTCAAGATTGAGACAGACTTTTGCAGTTAATAAGTGGATCACCTGCCCAAGCACAGGGAACTGCTTTCATTCTGTGGCTGGTCTAACACACCAACGTTGACTGGGATTACCTCACTAGATGCAATCAGCTTTGATGGAAAGGTTTAATTAGAACTATATATACCTGTGCCAAATAATCTGAAGATGCTTTACAGTCACTGAAGAGTGATGGGGAATTCTTGGGTGCAATTCTAACATAGACAGCTCAGATAGAACAGAATAATCACAGACTTGTTGCTTTCTGTCCATTTTAAAAGAGCACCAGGCTTCTGGTGCAGGTGTCGGAGATGCTTTACAGTCACTGAAGAGCGATGGGGAATTCTCGGGTGCAATTCTTACATAGGCAGCTCAGATAGAACAGAATAATCACAGACTTGTTGCTTTCTGTCCATTTTAAAAGAGCACCAGGCTTCTGGTGCAGGTGTTGATGCCCCTTTTCTTCCAGCCACCAATAATTAGATGAAAAGAATGAATATTTACTTGAAACTATGCTGATCTACAGTACCGTAAGTGTTAGTGACTTGCAAGGTTTCTGTTCAATACAGAGCTCTAAAACAAGCGTATTTTTCTTCTTTTCCACCTAGTATGCTTGCTCGCCTGAGCCAGAAATATCCCAAGGCTCCATTCTCAGAAATTCTTAAAATTCTGGGTGATGCTAAGGAGATCTACAAGGAGTGCTGCGAGGGGGACATGCTGGAGTGCATGGATGACAGGGTAAGACAAGTACTTTTTTCAAATGTGCTTACACACTTGAAAAAATGTTTAGGAAGACAATAATTTGTGCAGTTACTCAGTTACAGTCCAAGGAACTTGTACTCAATGCTCTGGAAGGTTCCTTGGCCACAAAAGAACTCACAGCCAGCTCAGCTGTGACTGTTACTGGGACTGGGTTTCAGACCAGTTCTGGATCTAGTCCTCTATAACCATGAGGGGAAGGAGCTGTGATTTCCAGTATAGCATGTGCATTTGGTTGAAATCAAAACATTTGTCAGGGAGGTTGGTTGATGGTATTTGCTCACTTCAAAGCCATCATAAACAGAGCAAAAGAAAGCAGAGGGAAAAAGGCCACAATTGCTGTCCTGTTGTGTGTAGTGCCATTAATCCAGCTTCCCTGGGGTGCCAGTGAACTCTGGAGAGCAGCTTGGGTGGCAGGATTAGCAAAACTGTGCAACAGTCACCCCATTTCAATATTGCCTGGCTGGAACTCAGATGCACTTGTTAAACCAGCTGGTGCCAGTGCTGGCTTTAGGAAGCTCTGGGGTTTTTCATGTTTCTATCTCAAAAAAGATTAAGGCTGGGTACCTGACAGGACTGACAAGATCAATCAGACATCCTTGTGACAGACCGCTCAGTGGCTTTCTTTGGCTTTCCAGAGTCTGTCTTCTCCAAGTTTCTAAGATCAGGGAGGGAACTGTATTCTCCCACGTGCCTGTCCCTCTGATTATTTCTCTTTCTGTGGGGACAGCATTTCTTTAGGAAAGTGCTAAGTAAATAGGTGGCCTGAGTGAAAAGGGAAGAGTCTGAAAAAGAGAGAGGAGATGAATTAATCTGTCTTTAAATTATTATTTCACAGCATGTCTGATAATATATTTTAATTTTACAGGCAGAGCTTATGACCTACATATGCTCTAAACAAGATGTTTTCTCAAGTAAAATCAAAGAGTGCTGTGAGAAGCCAGTTGTGGAACGAAGCCAGTGCATTATTGAATCAGAATTTGATGAGAAACCTGCAGATCTGCCTTCCCTAGTTGAAAAATACATACAAGATAAGGAAGTGTGCAAGAGCTACGAGGCAGGCCATGATGAATTCTTGTCAGAGTAAGTAGTGCCAACAGTATGTCTGCTTGTATTAGAGGATCATTCACAGGAAGGTTCAGTCTTTTCTGGACCTCAGCCTTTTGTATCACTGGAAAAACTGCCCTCTTGGACGTTTCAAGCACTTACTGAGAAAAGAGATGACCACATGGAAGTCCAATATATCTATTGTTGCTTCGACCCGACTTGAACCTCTAGTTCCTCATTCAAGTCTCTGTTCAGCATGAATTTATCAGTGCCTTTCTTTTATGTGAGGGCTTTGTGCATGCCCATGTACATTATCTGCTTAAGAGATACTCTGTCCTGGGGAACTGTTTTGTTCCTAACACATTTGCCCTATTGACTGATAACAGAATGACCAAAAATATTCTTCTAAAACAAGTAAACTGCATCCCAAGCTCATCGTCCACCTTACTTGATCTCACTTTGAGGAACTGTCATTGTCAGTTACCTTGTTGTGCATGAAGAAAGCAGCATGTTATTCAGGAGCTGTAATTCTGTCCACTTCTGTGTCTTCCAGGTTTGTCTATGAATACTCACGAAGACACCCTGAGTTCTCCACGCAGCTGATTCTGAGAATCACTAAGGGCTATGAAACACTCCTGGATAAGTGCTGCAAAACGGACAACCCTGCCGAGTGCTACGGAAACGCTGTAGGTGCAAAGCTTGGGTTGAGAAGGTCCTACAGAAGAGCAGACAGAAAGCATTTTGAGAGAGCAATCCCAGGGAAGTTAGCACTCTGATGGGAGGTGAAGAGCAGCCCAGGGCCCACAACAAGGATACCCAGTTTTCTCAGATCATAGAGTAATTTCATCAGTCGCTTTAGTAATTTTCAGACTAGTCTCACTCAGCTCCCTGTCTCCTGCCTCTGTCCCTCAGAAGTGATTCTGCTTGTCCTGACGAAGATGATTAATAGCTGATTAGCTGAATTATCCCATGGGCTCCGCTGCCTTTTCTGAGTATGGCTGCTCAGGGATTAGGATGGGAACCTGCACGTCCAGGTCACATAGAGATGCCTAAACTTAGGTCTCCTCATCTTCAGCTGAATGACACACAAGTCACAGCACAAGTTGAGTCTCTGACAGCTTTAGCCAAGGGATAGCCAGAGGATGTTCCCCTCAAGGCTGATAGTCTTGTACTTGAAAAATATTCAGCTGATTTAGACAAACAACCCCCCCCATCATTGTCTAGAAAGCAAGTCCAATGGGTAATTCATTTAAATTATATTTCAAAAAATCTCGCTACCTTTTCAAACAGAATTTCTATTAGAACTTAAGGCTCATGTGAGAATTAAGTCCTCCCTGCACCAGCCAGGCTGTACAGAAGTGACCAGCCTTGCAAAATGGGTGTCTTATAGCTAATAAGATGTAGAGGAGGTCAAAAGGTGTATTTGTATGACTGTTAGCAGGATGTCACACTCTAATGTTACTGATAACTTTATATGTGTTTGCAGCAAGAGGAACTGAACAAACATATTCAAGAAACTCAGGATGTTGTAAAGACAAACTGTGAAATTCTCACTACCCATGGCGAGGCCGACTTCCTTAAAGCGTAAGTACTTTCTGATAAATATTCTTGAGTGTGAACAATGATGCTTTGGGCAAACCTATTTGGTCTTCACTTCTATTTTCACTTCAGTGGTCTAGCTCAGTGGAGCATTTTTCAAATGCGAGCAAACAGTCATTTTGATGTGGCTTTTTCAGACTTCTGATCCGCTACACCAAGAAAATGCCTCAGGTGTCCACCGATACCTTGCTTGAAATTGGGAAGAAAATGACAAAGGTTGGCACTAAGTGCTGCCAGCTTCCTGAAGACAGACGCATGAGCTGTTCCGAGGGATATGTGAGTACATGTGTTTATTCTCTCTACTCCTCTTGGAGATTTCCTCTCTTCTCAAACACATTGAATTCTGGGGAGATAGTAAACTCGCACTGATTTTCCACAAACCCCAAGCTAAGCACCTACTTAACAGAATTCAAAGTCTGTTCATTTTTAGTGGATGCGAGAGCCTCAACAGTTGACCGATGGCAGCTTGTGAGAATTTTAGCTAAACTTTGCTCTCCCTCAAAAAGCTGAATTGAGTTGGTTGGGTCTGCAACAGCTAAACAGTCTTGTAAAGCTAAACAGTCTCTTAAAAAAAACCCCCAATGGATGTGAGAACCTCAACAGTTGACTGACGGCAGCTTGTGAGAATTTTAGCTAAACTTTGCTCTCCCTCAAAAAGCTGAATTGAGTTGGTTGGGTCTGCAACAGCTAAACAGTCTTGTAAAGCTAAACAGTCTCTTAAAAAAAACCCCAAAATGTACTTACTGATTGTAGCCCGATGGACAGACTGTTTGCAGATGAAGAAATGCCCAACTCCAGGAATACTTTTTTTTTTTTTAACTTTAAGACCACGCCATTTCTGAGCATCCCTATGTGTCATTATGCTATTGTGACACAAGCATCACAAATTTCTTCTGTTATTGTAGAAGGTGTCACTGATGTTTGTCCTTCCTTCCTTCCTTCTCCTTCCAGCTGAGCATGGTGATTCAGGATATGTGCAAGAGACAGGAGACCACACCTATCAATGACCAGGTTTCCCACTGCTGCAGCGACTCCTACGCTTACAGGAGACCCTGCTTCACTGCCATGGGTGTAGATACCAAATACGTGCCTCCAGCATTTAACCCAGACATGTTCAACTTCGATGAAAAACTCTGCACTGCTCCTGCTGATGAACGGGAAATCGGGCAGATGAAGTAAGCTCAAAGAAATACCTCGTCCAGATGAAGAAATGCCCAACTCTAGGAATACTTTTTTTTTTTTTTAACTTTAAGACCATGCCATTTCTGAGCATTCCTATGTGTCATTATGCTATTGTGACACAAGCATCACAAATTTCTTCTGTTGTTGTAGAAGGTGTCACTGATGTTTGTCCTTCCTTCCTTCCTTCTCCTTCCAGCTGAGCATGGTGATTCAGGATATGTGCAAGAGACAGGAGACCACACCTATCAATGACCAGGTTTCCCACTGCTGCAGCGACTCCTACGCTTACAGGAGACCCTGCTTCACTGCCATGGGTGTAGATACCAAATACGTGCCTCCAGCATTTAACCCAGACATGTTCAACTTCGATGAAAAACTCTGCACTGCTCCTGCTGATGAACGGGAAATCGGGCAGATGAAGTAAGCTCAAAGAAATACCTCGTTGAAAAAAGTCTGGAGTGTAAGGCTTTCAGGAGGGGCAGAAGGAAGCCAAAACCCCCCTGTTCTGTCATCTCACTGGGACTTCGTTGAAAAAAGTCTGGAGTGTAAGGCTTTAGGGAGGGCAGAAGGAAGCCAAAGCCCCCCTGTTCTGTCATCTCACTGGGACTTCACTAGCGACAGAGAGGAAACCAGATGGGATTACGTGTGAGCTTGTCAGTGCGTTACATCGTGTAGTTTGGAAGAGGCAAAACAGGCTATTTCCTTCCAATAAAATCTGTCTTAGCTGACCAGTTTTGCTAGGTCCACTGCCAGTGCAGGTCTTATGATGTACTTAATTAAGACAACATACAGATCATTTCAATAAGTTTTTTCCCACCTGTAACTGGGATAACAAAAAGCAAACAGATGGTCGTGGTAGACGGGGAGTTTAGAGTCACAAATAACCACAGGCTTCTGTAGGCACGACAAAAAACCCTCATAAATGAGCTATATCAGCATAGAAGGGCTTATTTTAAATTGGGAAATCAAACTATAACAGGTAGCATTAACTGTCTATTGTGGTTTTGCTTTCAGATTGCTCATCAACCTCATTAAACGCAAGCCCCAGATGACAGAAGAACAAATAAAGACAATTGCTGATGGGTTCAGTGCCATGGTAGAGAAGTGCTGCAAGCAAACAGATATTGATACATGCCTTGGCGAAGAGGTATTTCCTATCTCCTTTAGAAAAGGACACTTACTTGTCCCTGAAATAACCACAGGAGAAGTTTATCCATAGCCATATTGCTGAGCGAGCGCAAAGCGCTTACAGAAGTACAAATGAGTTTCCAACAGCAACCTCATCATTTGAGGCATGGAACTGTATTACTAATAGCTTACACTGCTTATTGAGTGAATCTTTATTTATAACCAAAGTATCGCATAGGTAAATATAGTATGAGGAGTTAAGAAATAATTATTTGTCTCTAGTTCACTCTAAAAGTTTATTTTCCACCTTTGCAAAATTGAAAAATACTCAACATACAGGAGCACACAGACTCTAAGGTCAGGAAGCGCTCTTAGGATTATCCTTCAAAGCATAATGCAGACACAGGTTTAAGCTGATAAAAATCCCTGCTCAAGCACTACAGAAACCATAATATTTCTCACAACTGTTTGTATTCCTTTTTCTAGGGTGCAAACCTAATAGTCCAGAGCAGAGCCACACTAGGAATCGGCGCGTAATACGTGGTAGGTAAGAGCAATAATGCATATATTGGGTCATCTCTCTGTGTGTCAGCCCCCATCTGCCCACCCCTCTGCCCATTTACCCCCTTCGATTCAAAAATGCATCTGGCTGCCCTGTAACCACCAAGTGTTTGCTTTTCCTAATGGGTGGTTTACCATCTGCCATTGCATAGCACGCAGAAAGCTGAAGTGCTGAGAGTATGCCACCATTTTACAAAATAATCCTTTTTGTTTCTCCATCCTAGGATGCCAGTGGGAAAAATAACGAAGAAAAAAAATACTTCTGTGTAACTTCTCCCGCCCATTACCTTTTTTCCTTTGGTATTGAATGAGTATTTCATAAATCTTCAGTGTTTTGTCAAGCCACAGACTTTTCCAGAAAATGTTCAATTCCAATACTTTGAAAAAAAATGAATAATAAATAAAAGCTTTATAAATCTGCATCTGTCCTTGTCTGCTGGTGACTACCATAAGGCAAAGCTCTGCAGTGCTCCCTGCTCAAAGGGTTGCTATCAGTAGTATGGAGCAGGGAGTACCAGTGGGGTTTTTTTTATGTTTCTTGCTCTTGGAAAGTACGTATGAGAGAATATGAAAGGTGGTGAGACATTTAGCTAGATTGTAATACTCCAGTTCAGTTACAGGTTCATTTTACGCTTTACTTCAGCAATTATAATTACATATTAAGAGAAGATTCAAAGGAACTGTTCAGTCTAAGTAAGATGACTAGAAACAAGCTCTGATAAAAAGAAAAATATCTTTTTTCCATCAGCCACAAATCAAGTATCTCTTCACTTGCCAACAGATCTGCTTTTAGACACTTCTTTTCATGTCTTAAGCTGTTGGTAAAATAGCTTTTGACCTTAGAGATGTCTCTTCAAAAGCCCACCATCTAACTCACTTTTCATTGCAGCAAGCTCTTAAGAGAGAAGTTTTTCAGTTCTTTGACAGTAAAGCAGCGTGATTTTCTGGTTCCTGTTTAGTTTCAGTCCATGAACACAAACCCCCCAGATTTTCTACACTTTAACAAGGACCCTTGCATAACCCTTGCATCGTTAGAAGAGCCCTTGCATAATAAGGCATTTCATAAGGGCAGATTTCTTGGCCTAGAGACTCCTTGTGCCTCTAGTTCACGAACCGGGAATCCTCTCCAGAGCCACAGAAGTGTCACCTAAAAAGGGAGGGAAACCTCCCCCTAATTACCCAGAAGATATTTAAATTTTTGCTACCAAACCTGAACAATGGCTTCACATTTCAGAAAGGCCAACTGTTACGATAACTATTAGCGGGACACTTGTGACTTGTTTTCATGCAGCAACTTGTGTTGAATTATTTCAAAAGTCTTTTAGGCTTTATATTGCAACTTTAGTCCCTAGAACTCACTGAACACTCCACAAGTATTCCTGAGTATTCAAGGGGGAAAACAGAACAAAATCCAGGAATTAAGGCAGACACAAGTTTACTGAAAGCCCCTGTTTCTACACCCCATTTGCCTTCTCTTTCCTCTACAGCACAGTACAACAAATGGATACGTAGATGTAGTTTGTCACCTACTTGTGCCCTTCAGTAATACACAAGCTAATTTTCACTTTCTCCATTTTCATTTTTTTTATGCCTAGATCTCTTTCTCATATATTCCCTATAAAGGTTGGTAAAACCACAACCACTGAACTTCTAACACTCACAAAAACTATTCCCATAAATCAAGTTTTCCAGTCTTTGGAGAAAGCCCAATAGGAGCCACACACCCATTCTTTACAAAAACCACAATTTTAACAGCACCAGCTATTAACACTAATTAATAAAAATCTCTCCAGACTCAACTCCTCAAAATTAACTTATTTCTTATGCTAAGACGGAGATAAACAAACACAAAAACATTCATTCTTAACAAATGCAAAACCTACCATTGCTGGACAAAGAGGTTCTTGCTGCAGACTCCGAAATTTTCAAAGTAACAGCCAGATGCAGAAATTGCAAACACTACTTTTCTCTTGGGCAATAAGAAGGCTGCCCCTGGTGTGAAAGGGTGAGGGGCCACATCCCTTTCCTTCTGCCTCTCCCTCAGGCTTTAATCCCTTCACCTGACCCCACATCATCAGCATCCATCAGACTCCCACCTGCCCTGGGCTTCTTGATTCCTTCATCCCCGAATCTTCAACCACCTTCTCCTCCCCATCCCTCTACCACACTCTGAATCACAAAGTGGTGGTTCTCCTGTCCAATATCCAAAGATTCCAATATCTTTTAAAACAGCGGGTGTTGGTAGGGGTGTTTTTAGGGGCACCCCTAAAAGGTTTTTTCATCTCTAGGTCACTGGGGTGAACTGTAATCATGGCATTTCGGTGATACTCCTTGATTTCTCATGGTCCCTCTGAGGCTGAGTCATGAAATTCCATGACTTTTAGGCACCTGTGGTTCTGGTTTTGTTGCTGGTGATGGGACCCAGGGCTGGCATTGTCCCTCCAGAGCATCCCTGGTAGAGGTGCTAGCTCTGGCCTTCAGGGATGGGAATTCCATTAATGTGGAATTCCCTTTAATATGCAAATTCCTTAAAAATTCCTAAATTCACCTTTCACCTGAATATGTGGAAACATTTATATCTGGTTCATGACAAAGCAAACAGAAAAATGATCAGGCAGCAGGAATGTTCTTCCAGCTCCGTACCAGCCCAAGATGTGGGTTTCATGGCCCTTGGCCTTAGGGAAAACACCCCAGAGCGTGTCTGGGGCTCGGGAAGGGGCAGGGGCTTTGGGCCAGGGCACGTTCCTGGGAGTATCCAAAATTCCTCTGGATTGCTTGAGTGCTTAGCACTTTTCTGCTCTCAGATGAACATTGTGAAACTATTCTGACTGCCTCAGATTGAAGACACGCTGTTTTTAAAAACATACAAATACTGAACCAGCTCCCCAGGTGTGTTCTCTGTCTGTCCTGGACTCCCCCAAGAATAAAAACCATCCTCTGCTTTCATTCTTGCAGTGGAAGGTGTAAAGCACAAGGAACACAGTAAGGAAACCGTTCCTCTGCTCATCCGAAGCAACTGAAAATCCAAATTAACTTTCTAATGATTTGCAGTCCCAAGTGGATTGTGAAGCAGTTCTCACCTCAGCCATTAGCTGCTAATACAGAACAGCATTCCACAAATGCTGTCTTCATCACTGACCCCCCCAAAAAAGAAGGAAGAGAGCACAACTCTCTCTTAAACCAAGTTATATTTTACATGAAGTCTTGTAACCTGGTTCCTAATTTGTGCAATTTCTTACGTAGTTGTGCAAAGCAAAAAATCTGAATTTATAAGGTCTTGCCAAAACTGCCCCCTCTAAATGACAAACCTACTATTTTGTCCCGCTGGCTTTTAGCAAGGGTGGGCTCAGCCTGGGAGCCCCCTCCAAGGCTCAATGGAAACATACAGCAATTTACATGTGGATAGTTAATTGTTTACAAACACTGATTGGTAACACTATACTAATGATTTCATTGCCTTCAGTCTTCTTTGATTCCAAGCTCCCCTGCATGGTCTGCACCTGCAAATAATCCACAATAAGGAAGCAGATACTGTTTATTTCCTGTATTTTTTTCCAGTTTTGCTACATGCAAAAATCAGAAAAGATTTGATCAAGATGCAGGTAAGAACATTCCAGTTGAATTACTTTCCTTCTTACAATGTCCTTACAAGCTTTGCAGCTGTGTTAATAACTGGTTGGAGTTAGTTTTGCATCATTTCATAATGAGCATGAAGTGAAACACCTTAATTTTCAGCCTCCTGGAATACACACAATATGCTAGAGCCATGATTAATTAAACATTATAGTTTGGGGGGGTGGTTTGTGTTTTTTGGTTGTGTTCTTTTTTGTGTTGGGTATTTTCCCAAACAGGAGGAATCAGTACTTCTTTACAGATTCTGATTTCCCATTTAAAAAAAAAAAAAAAAAAAGAAAAATGAAAGGTAAGAATCTTTATTTTCAATGAAACTTTCACAAATTCTAGACAAATTTTTTTTTAATTAAAAAAAGTTTACACTAATCAACAAACCCCCCAAATAGCATCATTTTAAATGTAATTTTTCACACATGGGAATCCTGATTAAGTTAAAAGTTCTAGCTACTGCTTTCTACCCTTTGAGAATTTTTCAATGAATGCTAGATAAAGGGCTTCAAATTTACATATAGATACACCCTGCTGTATGCAAAGACCTGCTTTTTTGAAATACAAATGAAAAGCTTCTAACTGATCCTGTCTCTTACAGAGGAGTTCCAGTGTAAGGGGTTTGGATTTTACAACCATCTGCTCTGTGCACCCAACAACGAAGGGTTGGCAGCAAATGGAGTCATCTCTGGAGAACTGCTCGTGAAAAAACCTGGCCCAAGGAAAGGGCACCTGTCAGAAGAGAAAGCCTGGATGAACCAGTGCCAGACACCTGACTCCAGGAGTCAAAGGAGAAGTTGTGCTCCAGAAACCAAAGCTCCACGAGACCCAGAGTGAGCTGTACAAAGCTCAACCAATGTCTTGAGCAGTGCCTTTCAAAGCAGCTGCGAGGGATTGACCGGGGCCTTCTCCAGAGCACGTGCCTTCTGTTTTGTTACCCGTGGGCAGACACGATCAGTCCCTGCCTTACTCAAAAGTGCTGGGTAAGCAGGTCACTGCAACCCAAGTTTGTGTTGCGTCAAGATAAGAGGGATTGTGTTGCGTTAAGATAACTTGTTTTGACATGCGGCGGTGGTGTTTCACTTGGCTAGACCATCACGCCTACAGGTGCCAGATAAAGGCAAGGACAAGTTGTAAATGTCACCCTTTGTACTTTGGTGTGTCCAGTCCGCTTGCAATCAACCCACGGTGGGATTTGGAACACAGATAAAGGCAGGAGCGTCGTGCTTGGGAAGCTGAGGGGAGGAAGAATTTTAACTTGAGGAATTTCTTATTTCTTCCATTCCTGATGTTGTAGGTTCTGTCTCATGCTCTCATAACTAGCTGGCATATAGGCTCTGCTTCCCAATAAAGGGCATCTTCTGTTGTTAGCAAACATGTAGGCAGCAGCCTCTACAAAACATCGCTCATTCAAAGCTTTGACACCAAACACTGGGCTGCAGATCCCCCCTCCCAATAGCCAGGATGAACAATTACCTTATTGCCCCCTTCTCTTCGGAGTTGATAACTCCTTTGGTCCAAAATCTCCAGAAGGAAGTTCATCACACTGAATACAGAAAGTAGAAGAACCTCTCCTGGAAATGATCCTCATCCAAGGCAGAGCAATGTTATATCCAATTAAGCCATTTTTTTGTGTGGTGGGATGGCTGTTTTTTCCTCTTACTCTCTTGCTGCTTAACAACACGCCTGGGAGAAAGGCACAGCTCCCTGCAACGGACGTTGGGACAATCCAAATAGGGAGGAAACGTGGATCTTTCCTTGGAAGCTCAGGAATAATTCCCTCAAGCAAAGGCCACCTGGGAATCCTTCACCATTTATCCATAACAATCACACCTTTTAGGGCAATAAGGTGACTTTTCATGGCATATCAGTCACTGACTGAACCTCTTCAAGGAAACTGGGTGGCCCTGTCATGCTGCTACCCACACGGTGTTACACAGCCCACAGACATCCCAGAGAGCAGCCATCCCTCCCTCAGCATCCCATCACTCTTACCTCACCAATGAAGGGGAAGAGAAGGGGCATGGAGGGAAAGAGAGAGCAGCCATCCCTCCCTCAGCATCCCATCACTGTCACAGCAAAAATGAAGGGGAAGAGAAGGGGCATGGAGGGAAAGAGAAGTCACAAAGCAAGAAAGGTGGTGATTTTTACTTCAAGTTATCTTGCAAAGAGGGCTATAGAGCCTGAAGCAAATTAATACATCCTGAACACGAAGATTTGATCTGTCTGTCGGTTAAAAGGGTTTGCTCCCCCTTGTTATTCTTTGTAGTACTCCACAAAAATTAATCAGAACTAAAGAAGTTGAAGACAAGGCAATGGTGATTTTTACGTGAAGTTATCTTGCAAAGAGGGCTATAGAGCCTGAAGCAAATTAATACATCCTGTACATGAAGATTTGATCTGTCTGTCGGTTAAAAGGGTTTGATCCCTCTTGTTACTCTTTGTAGTACTCCACAAAAATTAATCAGAACTAAAGAAGTTGAAGACAAGGCAAGATTTCAGTGCTTGGCCTTAGATGAAGTAACATGGAAGGACCAACAGCCTGACTGGGAGCCCACTAGTCTGGGGAGCCTCAGCAGCCCCTGAAATGGACCAGGTCTTACAGCTGGTGCACCAGGACAAAGGAGGAGAGCCCAGTTTTCCCAAACTGTATGTCCTTGGAGCCCACTCTTGGGAGTCCTCTGCGTTTGACACCTTGTCCTCTGGCAATATTTGCCCCTCAAAGGATTTGTTTAACAGATCTGGGCTGTAAAAAATAAAAAGTAAATCTTTCTCCTGCATTGGCATGCTGAGACCTGCACTACAAACAAGTCCTCCTGGGACAACTCTTGGTTTATTTCCAGGACCCAGGACCATGCAACGCACCCTGTGCACCTTCCACCCACGCAGGCCTCTGACACAAAACACACAGCGAATGCGTCCTCGCAAGCCCGGAGACAAACGGGATGGAGAGAGGCCCCGCCAGAAACGCGGTGAGGAAAGTCGTTTCATTCCCAGCCAAGTGACTCAGAGGAACCAAAGGACAGAGGAACCGGTTGCCAACGTGGGGCAGCAGGTAGGTGGTACTGCGAGAGGTTGTCCTGGCTCCTGTGCCGACACGCTCACACACCCACGGGGTGAACACTCCCCAAGACAAGGAATTGAAGGAGAAATTGTCAATTCATAGAGTCATAGAATGGTTTGGGTTGGAAGGGACCTCAAAGATCATCGAGTTCCACCCCCCTGCCCTGGGCAAGGACACCTCCCACCAGCCCAGGTTGCTCCAAGCCCCCTCCAACCTGGCCTTGAACCTCTCCAGAGATGGGGCAGCCACAGCTTCTCTGGCCAACCTGGGCCAGGCTCTCACCACCCTCACAGTAAAGAATTTCTCTCTGGTATCTAATCTAAATCTCCCCTCTTCCAGTTTAAAACCATTCCCCCGTGTCCTGTCACTGCACTCCCTGACAAAGAGTCCCTCTCCAACTCTCCTGCAGCCCCCTTCAGATATTGGAAGGGTGCTATGAGGTCTCCCCAGAGACTTCTGTTCTCCAGGCTGAATTCATATCAAACTAAGGGGCTATGCAAAGCACCTAAGAGCAACTCAAAAAAAACCCCAAAAAAAACAGGAGAAGCCAGACATCCAGACACCAGACATTAATCTTTTCATTCCCTCAATTTAAAAGAATTTGAACGGGATCCTTTTAGCTACACAAACTATGGTTTGTGCTACACCATGTGTATCTTTTCAACATAAACCAACAAACAGACATGACTGGGGAGCAAGAGAATACTTCAATATCACATCAAAAATTGCCTGTTTTCGTGAAACAAATCATACTTCTCCATGTACTTACGTCCATGAATTTATAAAGACATTTAAAAACAACAAGGTCCAGATTACATACACAGTCAGAAAACAGGTTAAGACATCTACTTTTGGCAAACTATATCCATTCAGGAAATAATCACCAGGTCAAACAGAAGTTCACAAGTGATTTTGATACAATTAGTCATTTACTGGGGCTGAAAAGAACAATTCTTACCATCAGACTTGCCAAATCATCTGTTAAATCGTTTGCATCAATGAAGTGAACAACTTGGATTTCCTGCCCGTGTTGCCTCCAGGCTGCACTCGCTGGAAGAGGTTTGATGAACAGGTAATAAAGTTTTATAGAACACATCCCGTGCCACACCTGAAGTTCTGAGGCACAGATTCAGCAGCGAGTGCCAGTTGTCATAGTGTCACAAGGGATCTTAGGAAAAAACCTTCTGCTCTCTTCAATAAGCTTCAAAATAGACCCTGAAGTTGTAACACCCCAGCCAAAGGCTCTCGGGTGAATTGGGCTGGATCTGACCCATATTGCCATAGTGTGGTGAATTCAGCATATTTTAGAGCATCCTCCCAGTTGAGAGCACTTGGAATGCCATTCACACACAGGTGCCAGGGGACAGAGGACTGCTGTTTGGTTTTGAGCTAAATATTTACAAGAAAGGCTCAAGTACATTATATCAAAGTGAGTTTTCTTAACGAATCTGCAGTTAGCTAACTGAATAACATGGAAAAGCTGAAATGGTTTTTGGCTTTCAACAGAAAATTCTGTGTATTCAACCACAAAGCAATTTCTGAAAGACGAGGAGGAAGGGAGTCAGGAATTTCGATGAAAACTGAACAAAGCAAGCCTGCAGAAATGAACTGGACTTTCTTTGCTGCATTTTTAGCATTTAAACCAATACTTTCATCCTTGTATTTTTAAATCCAGTCATTACAAGTTCTCATTCTCCATAGCAGGGAATAATTCCTCAAGTCGGCAGAGGGTTCTGCTGCTGGGGCAGAACATCTCCCACCCACCAGCCCGACAAGCACAAGCTGCCTCTCACCCTCTGGGTGTATATATTGATCACCCAGGAGCTACACAAGCTCCAGTGGCTCCAGAGAAGCCAATCACAATATTTAGATGCCTTATAGACAAGACAGGCTGTTTCCATAGCCTCCACACCAGCTGCATTCTATATCTTTAATACAGAATAAAAGTCTCAATGGATAAGATATTTTTCAAAAGCAATCTGTAACCACCTCAGCTTTACAATCTTGTCAGAGTAAAGACTTAAAATTTTTTATACATGTATAAATATATACACACATAAATCCATCTGTGTGTCTAAGTATTTATTTTCTTTCATCTTTCTACACAGCTGTCTACAGGAAGGCAGAGGAGACCTGCATCAGAGACCCCTCATTCTCTAACGATCATCTTTTGTACTTTTCTTCCTTTTCCTTGAAAAGCCAAACCAGCACGTGAGAGGAGGCAGGACTTGGAGCCTTTACTGAACACAGGAAGCAGCAGGCTCAGTCCTGCCAAGGCAGAGCTAAATTAAATACGAATAAAGCTTTCATGAGCAGCAAAAGTGTCACGCTTCCACTCAACGCTTCCACTCTCTCTAAGCAGGGAGACCTCAGGAGTGAAACACAGACCCTAAAGGGCCCAGGTACACCAGACCATCCCACCAGAGTGCCATCTAAACCTCATCTTTCTTGGCCGTGCAGACAAATGGTTTGAATAACGAAGGTTTAATAACCTCTGGGTTAAAGAGACACTCATCATACTGGGTAGCTTTCTGGGGAGATAGAGCCATAAAAGTTACAGAAGCATTAATGTGCAGACAAATGGTTTGAATAACAAAGGTTTAATAACCTCATCATACTGGGTAGCTTTCTGGGGGGATAGAGCCATAAAAGTTACAGAAGCATTAATAACTTGCAACTTACCTTGTTATCAAGTTTCCAACTCCTTTTTCAAGAAAAAGGATTAAAGCATTGATACAATCATGGAGAAACCAACCCAAGGGAAAGGGGAATTCACAAATTCTGCTCTCATGAGTAAGAGCAGAAACAAGCTAGGTGAGCTCTGGGCACACACATTTGTGCTTTGTTGGCCCAGTTTGAGAGTGATAATCAAAGACTTAAGTCTATCAGGAACATACAGCAATCTAAAACATAGAGACCTTCCCCTAAAACTGGGGAATAGCATTAAAAAAAAAGAAAAAAGATATATCCAGTAAAAACTAACTCACCTCTCTGCTGTGTAGCAGACAGAGCAAAAGACTCCACCATTGGTGAATAGCATTAAAAAAAAAAGAAAAAAGATATACCCAGTAAAAACTAACTCACCTCTCTGTTGTGTAGCAGACAGAGCAAAAGACTCCACCAGAGCCAGTGCCAGGCATTTCAGGAGTGCCCGAGCATCCCCCACCAACCATCCCCAGGTGATGGGAATTCACAACCCCACACCCTGAGGGCCACCAGCTGCTTTTGGCTTTATCTTAACCTTGCAGAAGAGTTTCTAAGAGGTTCTGGAAACAGCTGAGCCCTCAGTAGGTGTAAAAATGAACAGGTCGACATGGTTTGCGTACTTTGAAGGACAACAGGAACCTTAATGAGGACCCAGCTCTTCATTGGATCTCATGTCCAGCAATTGCCACATGTTTTCTTTCCAGTTAAATACTGTACATACATTTTCCTCTGGCAAATTAGAGTGTTTACTGGAAATAGGCAGATTGCTGTCTGAGCAGTGGCAAGTATTTTCAAAGAAAAGTGAAATGTAGCAAAAGGGCAGTGGAAGCAGTGGAGCAATTGAATTTAAAGGATTTTAAGTGCAGCAGCCAAGTGCTGCTTCTAGCAATACTTAGCACAACCCATTACATGCACATCATCTCAAAACACCGTTTTCTTACCCAAAAGAGAACCTGCTCTACAAAGCCCTTGACATCAGTGTCTCAGCTGTTTCTTCAGCTCCATCTTGAGTAATACCCACCCCCCTTTATTTTTATTTTTTTAGTAATGACGTTGTATGAAGGCGTTACTCTGAACAGGAGGACTCTGCAGCTACCGGGCAGGAGACAGCTCTGAGCCCTGGCAGTAGGAGGGAAGAGGTTTTTTGGAAAGAGCCAGATGAGAAAAGCTTTCTCTGCTCTGCCCCTCGTCGTCTCCCTGCAGCACAGAACAGGGAGTGTTGCCATTTTTGCTCTAAAGAATTAAAAACTCTGTGTTTGCCTCTTCCCTCAGACCAAAGATGTATCCCTGCCCACCTATCCTTTGTCACAAATATCTGTAGCCCTCTAAAGCCATCCTGTCTCCAAAAATTTGACATTTTATCATGCTGATGCTTATAGCATAGCTTTTTTAATGTCAGCAAAATAACCGAATTAACTGGAATTTTCCCCTTCATTCTACAGTTTTGCAGATGATTTTTCTTTCAAGATTCAGAGACATTTTGATGGGAATTTTTAATGCTGCAAAAATATTGCAGGGGATACTTCATTCAGCCTTTTCCCTATGGCACCTAAAATTTGACATTTTATCATGCTGATGCTTATAGCATAGCTTTTTTAATGTCAGCAAAATAACCGAATTAACTGGAATTTTCCCCTTCATTCTACAGTTTTGCAGATGATTTTTCTTTCAAGATTTGGAGACATTTTGATGGGAATTGTTAAAGCTGCAAAAATATTGCAGGGGGTACTTCATTCAGCCTTTTCCCTATGGCACCTCAGGAGCGGGGAGCGAGAGCTGGCTTGTTCAGCAGGCAGGGATGCAAAAATACCAGGTTAACAGCTGAATTGGGGATTTTTTAGTCAACAGTGTGTCACGAAGGCATCTTCTGCCCAGCAGTCACCTTTGAACAAGCGTGTAAGTAGATGCCATCAGTACGCACAATAAAAAGCCCAGGGAGTGTTTAAACTTCATGTTTGAAGTGCGATAAGTTCAAAAATGTCTGTCTAAATTTTAGGGGGAAAAAAGAGTCTCCAAGGTCCGTCCTTTGCAACAGGCTGGTCAGTTCATCCCAGTGAGCAAATAATGGCGTGTCTAATTATTGTGGGAATATTCCAAAAGGGCTAATGTTGTATGTGACAGTAAAAGGGTTTTGATTAACCAGAAAATGTTCAGGAGAGTATAAAAGGAACTCTTTCCCCTTAATTCTTTCGGCCTCTCACAGATGGACCGAGCTCACCCCAGGCCCCGGCCAAAATCTGACAGTATGGATTGGAGAACAATAATTTATGTGATTTTATTGGTGAGCCTCACTGTAGTCAAAGCCCTGCCTAGAAGTTATCGGGACGTAGGTAAGAACATATCTCATAATTTTACTCTTTCCTTTTGTATAATACTGGTGGCTGCAGCTTAGCACGCATGGCTATTTGGTAACACTTCACCACCGTGGTTTTTCTTATGGGTCAAAATTATACAACTATATATCTGTATATATCTGTATAAATTTTTTGTGCTAAACCTTAGATATGATGCTTCTTTATGGCTTGAGACTCCCTGTGTAGTGCAGGATGGCCCGTCTGTTGAAGGGTAATTTAATCCCCAGGGATGAGGTTGTGCCATGGATTTTAGGTACTCCAAAGCCTGCTGAAGTAAAGGCTGTGGTTGCTCCAGCTGCCCTCCAAAGTCCCTGAGGAAGGGAGGCAGAGAGGTCCCCAGAGGGCTGCTGCCTCCAAGTGGCTCTTCAGAGTCACTAAATTACACTATTGCTCCATATTATCCTTTGGAGGGGTCTTACCCTCTTTTCTCTGGCTACTGGAGTACCCTGCAGTGGCCACACTCTCACTGAGGTTAAAGTGCCTAAAATGGGACAACTGAAACCCCTCCAACTGCGTGTGGTTCAGGTGCTGCTTTCACGTCACACATTGTTATCATTAGTCAACTTTTTCTTCATTTTTATAACTTCCAAGTGCACTGAAATGGCCTGACAGTGTAAACCAGAACGCCTGCTTGCGTTATCTGTCTCATGTTGTCGTCTCAGTTGTCACCCTCGCATTACTCAGAGGGACAACTTGGCTTATTTCTCTATTTTATTTAATCCTTTTACACTGATCTCAGCCCTACTGACATGAGGGTGAGACAGTAATGTCTTGGTACGGGAACATGCCTCTTGTTTTAAAATTAATCTCTCAGAATAGTCTCTGACAAACGAGGAACTCAAGAAGTTATTGCATTAAGGTTTGCCCATTAATAAAGGCCCAGTGGCGAAGGAAAAATATGGGACACCTTTGTTTTCCTCTGGGCTGGTTCACAACACGGACAGAAGGATGCAGCTCTGGGAATTTTGGAGGAGCTTTGCCTACCAGTGTAGTCCTCCATTCATCACACGTTCTCCACAGAGAAAATCCTTCCTCTGTGGATGAAGAGTGGTCAGGCACACCTTTAGTAGCTACGGCAAAGCTAAAAGATGTTTATAGGTGCTTATTTAATCATGTGGAGTGCATCAGCAAAGCAGGTTTTAGCATATTGCTCCCCACAACACTTGAGCCAGGAAATTTTATTGGCCCTATTATATTGTAGGTCAGAAACAAATAGTTTCGCATCCTCACATTTAAGTCAAATAGGAGGTGGAATCTTACATGTTCCTGCTCCCAGTGCCAGTATCCCAATACCCCAGTCTTTCTCCAAAGATCCAATACCAAAAAAAAATTAAAAATAAAGGTATTGGATGAAACATTTAGGAAACATTTTTTATTCAAGTTATCTTGTTTTTCAGAGGAAAGAAACAGCATTGGCCAACGTTTTTCTCAGCTGCAGGAGAATAACTTCAAAGCCATGTAAGTTGTCCAGGTAAAGCCTCCAACTGCAAATTTGCTGCCACCCACCATCCTGGTGTGGTTTGGAAATGAGCACACGCGGTGTGTCAAACACTCAGCCCTTCTGCCACCCGCCCCAACTCAGCCCGGGGTGGTACAGACCCTCTCACACGTAAAAGTTTAATAATTAGCTTTTAGGTATCCAGCAATGGGCTTAACGCTGCGTGTTCCTCTCCTAGTGCCATGATCATGTTCGCTCAGTACGTGCAAGGGGGCACCTTTGGCAGAGCGGTCAGGATGGCTGAAGACGTCACGGACCTCGCCAGAAGATGTGCTGCTGCCACCGGGGACCACCCCGACTGCCTGAAGCCTTTGGTGAGCTCATTCCTGCTTCTCATTTGGCAAACGTTTTCAGAAAGGACTTGTAACTTCAGAGCCCCAGCGTGTGTTTTTTCAAGGAGGCACGAATACGTTATCAAGCGCCGTGCTTTCCTTGTGGATGCATCTTTGGCCTCTTTTCTTCTCGCATTTATAAAGCATCTCAAGATGAGTGGAGGAAAATCCCCTTTCTTCCCCCACCCCAAATATCACAGCGTCTTTTGAAACCCTTGACCTGTATCAAGGGTTTTTCAGTGGTTTTCAGAGATAGGATAAGGGGCAACAGGCTCAAGCTGGAACATGGGAAGTTCCATTTAAATATGAGAAAAAACTTTTTTACTGTGAGAGTGATGGAGCCCTGGAACAGGCTGCCCAGGGAGGGTGTGGAGTCCCCTTCTCTGGAGATCTTCAAGACCCGCCTGGATGCTCCTGAGTGATGTGCTCTGGGCAACCCTGCTTTGGCAGGGGAGTTGGACCAGATGATCTCTAGAGGTCCCTTCCAACTCCAACAATTTTGTGATTCCATGAAAAGCATTCCACTTTGGAGTCCACCTTGGACTAACGGCAGGTATCAGAGTTTGAAGAACCATCACCCATGGCAGGTTTAAGAGCTGAGTCTGGTTTGCACTGCAGTCAAAGCAGCAGGCAATGATGAGGAAACTGAGTTTATGCAAGTCGGGGCTTGTTGGCTTCACGTAGCCTCCTCAGAGGGTGCAGAGCAGTAAAATGGAAGCCTCACACAAATGAACTTTCTCCCCTCATTTTTCACAGGACAGCATCTTCCTCGACACCATATGCCAGGAGGAAAATCTGCCCAGTTTTACCGATTGCTGCGCTAAAAAGGATCCCGAGAGAAATGACTGCTTCCTCTCCCTTAAAAACTCATCCAGAGGGTTCTTTTCTCCTTTTGAGAGGCCAAATGCTGAAGCTGCCTGCAAAAACCATTCACAGCATCAACATCAATTGACAGGATAGTAAGTAAATAAATCATAGATTCGTTGTCTAGATATGAGTTACGAGCCTGGAGACAGCAAATGCAGAATCAACCAAAAAAGTTCAGTCTAAGGTTCTCTGTAATCTCCTACTCGTTTTATTTCCTGATGTGAATTATTTGCATAGTTCATCTAAGCTGTAATTGTCATTTTGTGAAGCCCGTTCTGCCACCTCCTGCTTTGGATTTAGGTCCAAACAACAAAGAAGCTGGCCTGGTTTAGGGCACTCCACATAAAGGACTGCTCTGAAACCAAGAGCATCCCTTTAGTCCTTAAAAGCCAAGCAGAAGGTTTGCTGCCCCTAAGCCAGGACTGGCAGGATTGGAGACTTCCATTTCCAGGAAAATGCCCCCCCAAATCAGAAACATTGAAAACAATCACTTTCTGGCAGCTATCATCTTAATATACAGCAGATGCTGCAATAACAACTGCTGCCCCCTGCGTGTGGGGCCTTACTCCCAAACTAAAGACATTTTTCTCTGGGTTTTAGCTTTATCTACGAGGTTTCCAGAAGGCACCCATTCCTCTACGCCCCAACAATCCTCTCTGTCGCTCTCCGGTACGAGGAGATGATGAATAACTGCTGTGGAACCACCGAGGACCCCGCTCCCAACCCGGAGGAATGCTTCCAGAGACAGGTACTCCATGGCAGGGCTTGACTTTATTCATGGGACCGCTAATAGAATAGCAAGCACGATGGTTAGTTCATAGCACAGGCTGGAGAGCATTTTTCTTTCACTATTAAAAAAATCCCTGTTTAAAAAACCATCGTCACCGTAGTTTTAACGTAAAGTGTTGTCTTGTCTTTTCTTCCACGGTCTGCATCTTCCTTCTACCAGGCACCGAAGGTGGTGAAGCCACTGAAAGAAGATGGCCTGAGGCAGGAACACACATGTGGCATCTTGAAGAAGTTTGGAGAAAGGACCTTAAAGGCTCTGTGAGTCTTCCCCGTGTTTTATCCTTCTTTTGAGACCCAGCGTGGCTGTTGCCGGTGGGTGCCTCTACCCGGTACCATGACCCCCAACACCAGCCTCCTCCCTTTTGTGTGCAGGGCACCAGTAGCACCTAACAAGGACGAGAGATTCAGAATACAAATTTATGCACGAGAGCAGGCACCGTTTCCTCACACGCTGCCATTAGCTTTCAAAATCTAAGCCCAAAATTTGAAACGAAGGCATCTCTCTGTGGTGAAAGTCAGGGAGACTGTGAGCAAAACGCAGCTCCTCTCTCCTGCTCCTGTAATTTCCTGCTCACCCACCACATTTCTTTCCACCACCTCACACTGAAACTCACCCAGGACCCTCAGATAACTCTGAAAAACTCAGCTATTGGCTTCAAGGGACATCTATTTAACTTCAGCAGGAGCAGGGAGAGACCATTCCTGAGCAGTTTGGGAAACCCCTCCCCAGGAAAAGGATGACAGAGTCTGACGCTGTGAATAGAGACAATAACTATTTTTCTTCTTCATAGGAAACTTGCTCAGATAAGCCAAAAATTCCCTAAAGCTGATTTTCCTACTGTTAGCAAACTAGTGACGGATATTGCTAACATGCACCAGGACTGCTGTCGTGGGGATATGCTGGACTGCATGCATGACAGGGTAAAACTCATTTAATAGCTGTATGTCTGCAGAAATGCAATGCTTTTTGTTGTTGTTCTGATTTATTTTTTCCCTCCTGTGCCACACTGATTGCTCTCCAAAACCGGAGTTTAACTTTTCAGTCAAAAAACCTGGTTGATTTTCCTATTTGCCTTTTTTTTTTTTCCCTCCTGTGCCGCACTGATTGCTCTCCAAAACTGGAGTTTAACTTTTCAGCCTAAAAACCTGGTTGATTTTCCTATTTGCCTTTTTCCTGGTGTGAAGACACCAAAAGAAGGGCAGAAAGATCTCGTTGTGACTAAAATGACCTCAGGCTGCTTCAGCAGACTTGGCTGCAGCTCCTTGCTGTGCCATGTATTTTTTGTGCAGCTTTTGGCAGAACGCAGCATCTGCCCATGCTCTGCCTCCTTCTAACGTACCAAATCCACTTACCTCACCACCTCTCCTCTGAAGACAGGCTGAGGGAGCTGGGATTGTTCAGCTGGGATTGTCCCTCTCCAGGGAGACCTTATAGCGGCCTTTCAATACCTGAAGGGTGCCTGTAGAAGAGCTGGGGAGGGACTCTTTGCCAGGAAGGGTAATGATAGGACAAGGGGAAACGGTTTTAAATTGGAAGAAAAAAGATTCAGATTAGATCTCAGGAAGAAATTTTTTACTATGAGGGTGGTGAGACACTGGAACAGGTTGCCCAGGGAAGTTGTGGCTGCCCCATCCCTGGAGGGGTTCAAGGCCAGGCTGGATGGGGCCTTGAGCAACCTGGTCTGGTGGGAGGTGTCCCTGCCCATGGCAGGGGGGTTGGAACTCGATGATCTTTGAGGTCCCTTCCAACCCAAACCATTCTATGATTCTCTGTGGTGTCGAGGGAGACAGAGAACTCAGTTTAGGTGGTTCCCTTGTAGCACCTATTTTAAGCAAGCGAGGGACTGCAGCAAACAGACCACCAGGGCTTCAGCTTTTGTCCTTGTTCTGCCAGTCCCCTCTTCTCTTTGGGACTCACCTTCTCAAAATGGAGATAAAAACACTGATTAAAAAAAAAAAAACCAACTAAAATCTGGTACGATGCCCTTCATCCCCTTTTTCTGCTTTACAGGAAGAGATCCTACACTATGTCTGCACCAACCAAGACGCCCTATCGAGTAAAATTAAGAAGTGCTGTGAGAAGCCTCTGCTGCAGAGAAGTGAATGCATAGTTAACGCGGACAATGACGACAAACCCGCAGGCTTGTCCCCCCACGTCAGGGAGTTCATAGAAGACAAAGGAATATGTGAACGTTTTGCCCAGGAGAAAGACGCACACTTGGCCAGGTAACGCGGGGCTTCCTCTGCTCTTCCCTCGGGCTGTTTCTGTACCTGGGTCACAGGGTGACACTTCAGATGTTGAAGCCCAGCTCCTCGGGCTCAGCTCCGTCTGCTCTGTGAGCCCTGGGGGCTGTGGAATGGGAATGAATGCAGAACAGGGCACAACTGATATTTCAGAGACAAAATCGAAGAAACGCCTGTGAAATCGAGGTACTATCCCTTCTGCTGTCAGCCCCAAAATACAGCTCTGATCCCCGCTTAAGTGGGGATTCAAAACCACTTGTTTAAGTCAGACCCGTGTCTCGGTTGAAGCGGGATGGGTCCATTTCTGTTCTAGCCCTAATTCCTTTGTGCAACAAAGCCCTGGTCCTACCTGCAGTGAACCTGGAGGAGAACTCCACAGGCTGCAACAGCATCAAGTCCCAAAGACACAGAATTCCCTTCAAGTAACAGAGAATTCCCTTCAAATGACATCCATCACTTCCAGCTGTGAAAAGTGCAGCTCATTGATTGGCACAACTGCTGGGCAGGGGAACTGCCTCGGCAGAGCTAATCATTCCAGCATCTGCCGAGACACGGGTCTGTTACTGGAAATTACTTCATGATCATTTAGATGGAATTAAAGAAAGGGCAAAACCCCCAGCCCCACGAAGCTCTCTCGACGTGAGCTAACGCTGAGCTGGGCATGTTACAGGCACAGGACGTGCTCAGGCTGTGCTCAGCCAGCCACGCTTGGCTCAGGTTCATTTTTCAGGGAGAAATCCTCCCCGGTCCCCTGGTCTTTCATGAGTTCTCTCCTTAACTCATGAAGCAGTTAAGTGACAAATTATCCATCTCCCATCCATGTTTCCTATGATGTTCTGGCTTTACAGCTGCATTTTCAGCTGTAACTTTAGAGTCATAGATTTGGGCAAAAGGCAAATGACACATTTTCTGTGTCATTTGCAAAAGACCTTGCTCTCTCCAGCTCCCACAGCAGATGCAAACATTGCCCGATGTTGGCACATCAGCCAAAACCACCCCCGAGGCTCCCCTACCATCCCCAGCCTCTCCAGGGGGCAGGTGTTTTGGCTTCTCTCTAAATTCCCCATTCTCCCTGTATTGCAGGTTTCTGTATGAATACTCCAGGAGACACCCCGAATTTTCGGCTCAGATGCTGCTAAGGATTGGCAAAGGCTACGAGGAGCTGCTGCAGGAGTGCTGCCGAGCCGGCGCGCCGGACGACTGCTGCAGGAGAGGGGTGGGTGCCCTCCTCCACACCAGGCACCCCTGGCTAAATGGCCAATAGCCCTGCTCTGGAGCGAGCACCCACAGCTCCTCTAACAAACCCTGCAAGTATTACAAAGCCCGACCGATTCCCCGCCTGGAAAAAGCACCAACAGAGCCTTTGCAATCTTACAGTTGTGAAGGAATTTAGCAGGGATGGAGAGGGGTGCCGGGGAAAGGGATGGAGCTCACCTTTCTGTGAGCCCTGCTCTCCCCGGGGCTCCCTCGTGCTGCCAGTTCCCCTCTTGCCAACGCAGAAGGCACTTAAGGTTGTTGTCTCCGAGAAAGCAGTGGGGTTGGAATGATCTGAAGGTGGGAGCCACCCTGTGCCTCAGACATAGCCCTCCATCAGTTATACAAAATTGCATATTTCTAGGGGATGGAAGGTGGGCATTTATCCCGCTCAGGCAGGTTATAGAGGTTTCAGACAGATGCAGACTTGCCAGTGGAATTAAAAACGGGTGGAATATAGCAGGTGAGAGGAAGCTGCAGATAGCCAGGCCTCGTCAAGAGGCAGCAGGGCGTTCTGCATCCCCCGCAGACAGTGACTCCTCAAACTGACTTATCTTTTTTCAGGAGGAAGAACTGAAGAAACATATTTACGAGACTGAAAGTGTCATGAAGACAAGCTGTGACATTTACAAGGAGAAAGGAGATTACTATTTCCAAAACGAGTATTACCTTTTTTTCTATGCTTACGTTTCTCCCCTACCAGCTGTGCACAACTCGGGCCAGAGTCAAGCCATGCCAGGCTAAAAGCCACCACATGAGTATCACACCAACATATTAATGGCTTCTAGGGTTTTTTTTTCCTCTTTTCCAAGACAATGTCATGGTCTCTCATGAATTCTCTCCTTAACTCATGAAGCGGTGAAGTGACAAATTATCAATCTATCTCCCATCCGTGTTTCCTGTGATGTTCTGGCTCTACAGCTGCATTTTCAGCTGTAACTTTAGAGTCATAGATTTGGGCAAAAGGCAAACGACACATTTTCTGTGCCATTTGCAGAAGACCTCGCTCTCTCCAGCTCCTGCAGCAGATGCAAACATGAACAATTCTCACAAAACCCTAACTACAGCAGAGAGAGCAGGAAGGGACTGGCTGAACCAGACACTGTGCTTAAGCACAACATGCAGGCACAGGCCTCCTGGAGGAACTTTGGCCCCGATTTGCAGTGTTAATTAGCACATGCCTAACTTAAAGTATGCGAGCAATCTCAGTGAAACCTCTCCACTGCTTTTGTACTCACAGCTAGGCTTCAGCCAGCCCTCTCTGGGGAGGCACATCTGGCTTTTTTTGCACTCCCAGGCGTGCTCGGGCTTTGGAAAGACCTTTGGAACTAGAGGTCTCCAACACACCTGCTGGGCTGCTTCTGCCTGGTCTATCTGTCCTTAAGGTTTTCCTGGCCATGATGGTGAATAAGCCTAGGGGTTTTTTTAAAAGAAAAAACGCAAGTGAACTTTTTTGAGCTTACTTTCTGCATTCATCTTGTCTGTCCAGACTCACGTTAAAGTTTGCTCTTAGCCAAGCTCCCAGGGAAATGACTAATATGGGAACGCATATGTACTACCTGGTAAGAGGATCCACCAACGTGTAACGGGTGACACTATCCTTAATTTTAGTTGTTTAACCTGGTAAGAGACTGGTCAGAAGAAGGTGAGAGCTCAGGCAGACAGAGCAGGTTGACTCTCCTCTGCCTGAGCGTATAAACCCGGGGCTCAGCCCAGCCCTGTTGCCACCAGGAGCTCTGTGGGCTTTGGCCAGGGCTCTGGGCACAGGAAGGCAGGGGCCTGCTCACTGCTGCCCACTGGAACAGAGGTGTCAGGGGAATTGTCCTTGCAGGCTCCTCTTGAGCTTCACCAAGAAGATGCCGCAGCTGACGTCCGCAGAGCTGATAAAATTCACCAAGCAGATGACCACCATCGGCTCCAAATGCTGCCAGCTGAGCCAGGACAAGCTGCTGCCTTGTGCCGAGGAGAATGTGAGTATTTTTCTTCTCTCTCTCGGTCTGGCTTCTTCTTGAGACTCTTCCACCAATTCTGCTGCCAGCAGAGCCCAAGAGCTTGAAGTAAATGAGAATAATGGTCACTGGGCTATGGAGCTGGCTCAGAGATGTCCTTCCACACCTGACGTCAGCAGAAGTTAGCATTCAGCAGAAATATAAACTGTTGTTCTCTCTTACAAACAAGGTTTCATTTAAATTCTCAGTATTTTTTAATAACTTTACTAAAGCATCATGTATTTCAGGGATTTTTGAAAATGAAAAAACAATGTAAAATTGTGGGTTTTTTTCCCCTTCTCTTGGTACAGCTGGATCTGGTGCTTGGAGAAATCTGCAGGAGGCACCTGAGCGACCCCATCAACCCCGGGGTCTGCCAGTGCTGCAGCGGCTCCTACGCGCTCCGGAGGCCCTGCATGGGGAAACTGGAGATGGATGAGAGCTACGTGCCCTTGTCCTTGACTCCTGGTCTCTTCCCTTTCCACGAAGACTTGTGCACCACTGAAGAGGAGAAGCTGCAGCACAAGAAGCAGGAGTAAGACAATGTTTAAGCCCCTTTTACTCTGTTACCCCTCTGTTCCTTTATTCTTACCCTGGCTGCCCTCACCTTTCCCGTCTCTATCCCACCTTGGGCTGCAATAGTGTTTGGAAAACCAGCCCCTCTCCCAAACTTCTTTTTCCTCCTCTCATGCTAGTCCCAGCTTTCAGCAACAAGGAAGCTGCTGCTTAAAGCACAGTATGACCTTTGTGGCTTAATTTGGGTTCGTTTCCCAGAAAGAGAGAGGCCATGCCTTTTTCTGCACCCCATGCCCTCCTTCAGCCTCTGAAAAGCTCCGGTCTCTGGTTGCCTGGCTCAGAGAAAACTCCCAAGAAAAGAAACCCCATCCTATCCTGGACTTGGGAGCGGTGCCCACCACAGACACCACCCGCAGGGCTCATTCCTGGTGGAGCAACTCCAAAAAGGAGCATCAATACTTTATGTCCTAGGGGAACAGGGTGCACCTTTGCTCCCTGCTGCAAACACAAGTTTGGGTGGTGAATAAAAACGAGAAGCTGCAGAAAGGCAGGGAGGGGTAACAAAAGGGGGGCTTTGCAGGAGTAGGGTTGGGGAAGTGCTTCGGGAGCCCCGTGCTCACCTCCCAGCTTCACGGGCCGGCTGTGCTCTCCTCACAGGATGCTCGTCACCCTCATCAAGTACAAGCCCCAGATCACCCAGGAGCAGCTGAGCTCGGTCACTGCCGCCTTCGCCGCCATGCGGGAGCGCTGCTGCCGAGGAGACCACCCCGAGACCTGCTTCCTGAGAGAGGTACATCTTCTGTCTGCACCCACACCTGCCCACCCAACACATGAGAGCCTGAACATCTCCATTAAGCAGCAAAGCCAAGCCTGGGAAGCCAGAATTTCTGCCCTTACATTTCCCAAGACAAACCTTCTGGCCCCCACAAGTAGATCTGTGACCGGTTGAATGAGGAGAGGCTGAGGGAGCTGGGGGTGTTCAGCCTGGAGAAGAGGAGGCTGAGGGGAGACCTCATTGCTCTCTACAACTCCCTGAAAGGAGGGTGTAGAGAGATGGGGGTCGGTCTCTTCTCCCAAGTCACAGGCGACAGGACAAGAGGAAATGGCCTCAAGTTATGCCAGGGGAGGTTCAGGCTGGATATTAGGAAAAAATTCTTCACAGAGAGGGGTCAGACACTGGAACAGGCTGCCCAGGGAGGGGGTTGAGTCCCCATCCCTGGCTGTGTTTAAGAACCGTTTAGATGTGGTGTTGGGGGATATGGTGTAGGGGAGAACTTTAGAGTAGGGTAGATGGTGGGACTCGATGATCCCGAGGATCTCTTCCAGCCTAGATAATTCTGTGATTCTGTAATGAGAGAGAGATTCTCACTAGAGGCCGTGCCCTCTTTTCCCAAGTCTTTGCTTTGAATGATAAAATACAGACAATTCTCTCTTTCATCAGTGAGGTGTTTCCACCTCTGAACACACCCAACCAGCCTGCCAGCAAAGCAGCATCCTATTCTCTCTTTCATCAATGAGGTGTTTCCACCTCTGAACATGCCCAACCAGCCTGCCAGCAAAGCAGCATCCTACTAACTCTTCCTAATGGAGGGGTATTTGGGGATTTTTCCGATAAATACCCAATCTTCTAAGGTGATCTGAGCAGAGCAGTGAAAGCCAAACATGTAATAAACACAGGGATGTGTGTACGTGCCCTCTGCACAGGCGGTGCTTGTGCACAACTCGTAAAGATTATAAAGCATTACCTGCTGCTGCCTCTGCCTTGTAGAGGAGCAGGGCTGCTCCTCTGCCTTGTTCACAAGCACATTGTCCTCCTGAATCCACTGCTCATCCATATTTTGCTTTTTTTTTTTTTTTTTTTTGGGCCCAGAACTTATAAAAAAAAGGGAAAAACTGTTTGCGGGGTAAGGAGCTTGCCCGG